TAAATTTATTTTCTATAAACTTTTAAATTTATGGGAAAAAGGGTTTCTTAAAACAACAAACAAGTTCCACCAAACATCCTCCTAATTACTCCTAAGGTCTCTTAATTACATATATGGTAACCCTAATTAGACCAGCATTAACGCACGAAATAACAGCTGGCTTGGAAACGAGACGCAAAGATGCATTGATGCGTGCAATACTGCAATGCATTTCATCAACCTACCACGAGACGCAAAGATGGATGCAATAATTGTACTACAACGACAGCTTTGACGATTTATTAGATTTTTTTTATCGCTGCTTCCACGGTGTTCTCCTTCGGATTTGCCTAACTGCAACCATTAATACGACCGAAAATATCATAGCTGCAGGATAGGATTTGAAACTTTTGAACTTTTACTGTTTAAGAGCTTTTTGAGATTAAAAAAATATTTAAAAGTGTAAGTTTTTAAGAGGAAAATTTAAATGCATGAGACATGAATAGTGTCCAAAAGCTGAAACTCCAATAATCCACACCAAACAGGCCCTAAGCTATTCAAAGCCTCCACGAACCGTTCCCGCTCTGAATTCTCCCCGTCCGACGAAAAACTTGTATTGGGCCCACTAACCGGGAATATAAAAAGCCGCATCCTCGCTGGCTTCGGGGAGGCTCTGTACATCCGATCGTATTCCAGCATCATTTGCTCGAGATCATCATCGTTGGTAACCGAAATCAGAGCGTCGAGGTCCTCGCCGGGAAGCTGGTACTTAAACGAGACTTCAGACTCGCCGCCGCAGAGAGCAGACAACTTGGATATCACGGAGGAAAACTTGATGTTGCGATCGACGGAGAGGATCTTGGTCTCCCCGCCGAGGTACGAGAGCTGATTATCATTCGGACGCGGGTGGATCTTGCCGGCGTAGCTGCACATAAACTTGATTTTGTAATTCTGAGGCTGCTCCTCCCATGGCGGCGGCGGATTCTCAAATTCAATTTCCCGGGACCGCGGCGAGGAGTTGCTGGAATCGGGATAAGAGTTATATGAGTAATTCTCCATTATGGAAGAAGAATTTCAGAGGAAAGAAATGAAAGATAAAACGTGGATGCGACTATTTAGGGAAGAGAGATGACGAGTGGGATATAATATAATCACTGAGCAGTGCATAGAAGTGAGTGCTTTAATTATATTGGGTGG